CAGAATTTTTTATTGCTTTTTTTGGTTTTTGGTTCGAAAATTGGATTTTTCTACAAAATCTACTATTTGGGACTTGTGGTATTGTAGACTTGGGCATCCCCATCATGCTCGTTTATTAACTATGTTTCAAAAGAATTGTTTGCCGGTTAAGATGAATGTGCTTTCTCCTTCTTCTATGCCTTGTGTAAGTTGTATCGAGGCCAAAACAACGCAGTCATCTTTCTCTGCTAGTACCATCGTTTATGAAGATCCGTTTGAGCTGATACATACGGATCTCTGGGTCCGTCACCAACCACTTCTCGTTTGGGCTTTCGTTATTTTGCTCTCTTCATCGATCATGCTACTAGGTTTACTTGGGTTTATTTCCTTCGAAATAAATCTGATCTGCTGACATGTGCTACCGAATTTATACAGATGATTAAGACACAATATCAGAAGACAGTCAAGAGCATACGGTCTGATCCTGGAGGAGAATTTAGCTCAAATCCTTTGCTATCTTTTTATAAAACCCATGGCATCATTTCTTAGTAATCCTGTTCGGGTGTGTCTCAACAAAATGGTGTGGTGGAGAGGAAGAATCGCCATGTCTTGGAGTTAACTCGTGCCATTTTATTCCACTCATCTATGCCGAGCCGATTTTGGGTGGAGGCAGTTCACACGGTTATTTATTTGATTAATTGTCAGATCACTTCTGTTCTGGATGATCGGTCACCCTATCAAGCCTTGTTCGGGAAGTGCGTGTTTTTGGATGTGTTTGTTACGTTCTGCTACCAAAGAAAGAACATAATAAACTACAACCCAAGACTGCTAGGTGTGTCTTTATTGGGTATAGTGACCGAAACAAAGGCTATATGTGCTATGATCCATCTGCTCGTAGGGTTCGAATCTCGTGTCACGTAGTGTTCCTCGAAAAAGTCATGTTCTATTCTTCCGCCGACAAGGAAGAAGACTCTACAGCTCTTGACTTTTTAGCTCCACTGTCTCATTTTCACTTGGAACCGTCTGTTCCGTTGGCGCCTAACGACGAGGATGGTTCCTTGGCTGGCTCACTTCAGCATTCCCCACCTGGTACTCCGTCCAATCATTTATCTTCATCATCATCATCGAATAATACCAGCTCGCCATCATGAGGACTTTCCTCCTCGTCAGCCGGCAGTTCCTCTTCGCCTGGCCTTTCAGGCTCGTCACCCGGATCATCATCTTCCTCGGCCGCAACTAGCTCCCAAGAGTCTGCTCAGAATCTCTCCCTTGAGCGAGTTCCTGCGCTGCGGAAATCTCTTTGCTCTACTTTGGGTCAACCACCGCTTCGACTTCATGATTATGTGGAGTTCTCTTCCGAGCCCGTTGTTGTGCCCTCTTCTTATAGAGAAGCTAAGGGAAATCCCAATTGGGACAAGGCCATGGTAGAAGAAACAGATGCACTCGAAGAAAATAACACTTGGGATATTGTTCCACGACAACCCGAGATGTCAGTTATCGGCAGTCGTTGCGTTTATACAATTAAGATGCATCCCGTCAGTACTAGTAAACGCTTCAAGGCAAGAGTTGTTGCACAGGGTTTCCGTCAGGAGTATGACATAGATTATGACGAGACCTTTGCTCCTGTGGTTCAAATGCAAACGGGTCGTCTCGTTTTTGCCATTGTCGCCATGCAGAATTGGCTATTGTTCCAGTTGGACGTTAAAAATGATTTTTTGCATGGTGATCTAAAGGAAGTCATTTATATGGAGTGTCTACCGGGATACTCGAAGGGAGGGCCAGATGTGGTTTGTCGACTTCATCGATCATTATCAAGGTTCTAAAAAGCGCTAGGCGTAAGGCAGACGCTCGGCTCCTGACTTGCGCCTTGCCCGATTAGGCGTAGCCTAGGCGCGCCTAAGCGTTCAGAGCATAAATGGAAAAATTCTCAAATATTTCCTGTTTTCTGGAATAATTCATATAATCCAAGTGCATATAAAATTAGCAATGCCTAGTTCTTAACAGTAAACACTTAACATAACAAATAACAGGCAAATAGTGACCAATCATCTGCTAATAGGTGCTTATAGAGGCAAGAAGCTTGTGCTACGTACCGAGGAGAAGGAAGGAGCAGCAATTGACGAGTTTCGACTTTATTTCCCACTATATCAGCGGAGCGGTGTGAAGGTGAGAAGAGTGATCGATGACTTTCTCCTGCGGCGGTAGAGAGCAGCAAATGGGGCGAGAGCTAGGGCGGCAGGCGGTAGCAGATGGGGTGAGAGCTAGGGCGGCAGGCGGCAGCAGATGTTACTTCCCGTGTTTCTGATTTTCTAGGGCAAGAGGCAATTTTCTGATTTTCTAGGACAAAATGAAGAGTATTGGGTTTAACAGCCTAAGCTCGCCCAGGAACGCCCAGGCACGCCTTCTCTCCACTAGGCGCAAACTAAGCGCTATTCCTACCTACTAAGCGCTACCAGCGCCTTTTACAACGCCTATGGCCAAGTCAAGGCGATCCTCCACCGCCTAGCGCCTAATTGAGCCTAGGCGTGCGCCTAGGCGCGCCTTCTTGAACTTTGATCATTATATGTTATCAAACAAGCACCTCGTGCTTGGTTTGAGAAATTTCATGTCACTCTTATTCATATGGCTTTTTACAAAGTGACAATGATCCTTCTCTCTTTGTTCGGCACATTGTAAGTGGTGTTATCATAGTTCTTTTATATGTTGATGATATGGTGATTAGTGGGAGTGATAGTGCAGGTATAAATGAGCTAAAGACTACACTCCATCAATCGTTTAAACTTAAAGACTTGGGTGATGTATCTTACTTCTTAGGCCTAGAAGTTCAGTGTTCCTCTTCTGGACTGTTTGTGTGCCAGAAGAAATATATAGCTGATCTCTTGACTACCTCGCAGTATGATGCGAGTAAGACATGTGCATCGCCGATGGAGCAAAATCTGAAGCTCAGCAGAGATGGTGGGGAGTTACTCGAGGATCAGACGTCGTATCAGAGTATAGTGGGTAGTTTGATTTATCTGACTCACACTCGTCCTGATATTTCTTATACTGTTCAGATCCTTAGTCAGATTATGGGAGTTGCACGCATACCTCACTGGGATGTTGTTCATCGTCTTCTTCGATATCTCAAGTATACTCAGGATGTGGGATTATTTATGCATGCATCTGGGGATCCATCTTTTGAAGCCTTTGCTGATGCTCACTATGCAGGGTGTTTGGATACTAGGCGATCTACCCTGGGCTGGTGTATACGGTTTGGTTAGTCCTTTGTTTCATGGAGATGCACGAAACATGATAAGGTGTCAAAGTCGTCAACTGAATCTGAGTACATGTCAATGTAAGAAGTTGGGTCAGAACTAGTTTGGCTGCAGCGGATTGTTCGAGAACTAAGTGTTAGTTGTCGCATGCCCATGCGAATTTATGGAGATAACACTAGTGCTATTCATATTGAAATCAATCCCGTTCTGCATGAAAGAACAAAGCACATTGAGATTTATGTTCATTATATACGACAACTTCTGGCAGAAGGTGTTGTACAACTATCTTATTTGACAACAGAAGATCAGACTGCAGACATGTTGACCAAAGCCTTGAGCTCGAGCAGACATTGGTATCATTCTTCCAAATTGATGTTACACACCCACCATCAATTTGAGGGAGGGTGTTAATTATGTATCCATGTCAGCTTATGATTGTAATTAGGTTTTCTCTATAGAAACCTATAAATATTTTACCGTGTAGCACTATTGGCTTTAAGCCGTCATAATACCAAAAACCTGAGAGGGAGATCCTATCCGTGGACTAGTGCCATCCTGACAATACTACGTTAAAAAACCTTGTGTGTTCGTGTTCATCTTTCTCGTTATTTGTTTGTTAAATTGATAGAGGAAACTAAGGGATTTAGGTGACAGGTGAAGAATTATTCTGGAGCTGGCGTAAATTGCCTAGAAATGATATTTTTGAGAAAAAAAATAATATTAATTATTATCATGATATTAATTATAGACGGCGTCAACATCAAAATGAAACTTAGGAGGGACATGAAATATAAGAGGAAGCGTTACAACTTTTACAACCCCAGCAAGTAATACGGGAATGGATCAGGTCAGTAACCCATTGGTAAGTAATTATGAGTAACCCTTCCACATCAGCATGACATCAGCATCCCTCTCTCCTGGAAAGCCTTTAATTTTCCACTCCTAAATCTTTGACGGACGATTTCTCACTCGTTTTAAGTCAAAATTTAATTTTTTTTACACAATTAGATCAGATTAATTGTGCTCTTCAAAATTATATTCACTTTGATATATTTTTAAAACAAAAAAAATTGAGTCATTTTTTACAAGTCTATACCATATGGTATTGACTAGTATTGAAATAAGAGCATACCTATGGTTTGAAAAGCGTACCATGGTGGTATGAACAAACTAGGACTGTAGGATGGTCGAATACATGATAGTAGAAATATATTAACTGTCATTTACGACTTTTATTATTGTGTACCATAAGATACCACCCCGTACCAGGGTGGTATTGTCTGGTATTGTGTGGTATTTTTTGGTACTGTAATTTGTTCACCCAGAAATTTGTAGATCCAATAGATCATGATGAACTCGTCCCTTCTGTGCAAACGTTTTCAAAAACGAATTAAAAACGAAGAAAATACGTGATGTGGACGGGGCGGTGAGGATTTGGGAGGAGATGAACGAACAAGGGTGTCGTCCTACGGTGGTCTCGTATACTGCGTTTGTGAAGATTCTGTTTGATAGTGGGAGGGTGAAAGAGGCGACAAATGTGTATAGAGAGATGCTTGAAGTTGGAATTACTCCCAATTGTCATACGTATACTGTGCTTATGGAACACCTAGTTGTTGCTGGTAAGTTGATTTGCGAAGAAAAGACTGGAGCTTTATGGAGATTTGTTGACTATTTGAGCTTTGTAGATTGTACCCTTTTTCTTCTGAGTTTCTTTTCTATGATGGGTTTTTAGGCAAGTACCAAGAGGCTCTTAACATTTTCAACACAATGCAAGAAGCAGGAGTGCAGCCGGACAAAGCTGCATGCAACATTTTGATCCAGAAATGTTGTGCCAAGGGAGAGACCAAGACAGTGATTCCTATTCTTAATTATATGAAAGAGAATCGAATCGTTCTTCGGTACTCTGTGTTCCTGGAAGCATCGAAGACTCTACAAGTTGCTGGCGAGAGCGAAGCCCTCCTCAGGCTAGTCAATTCTCATTGCTTTGACGAAGCTTCTGTTTCCACAACTTCTGCAGATGATCTTATAGATCGTGGCCTTGTTAATTTTCTCTTGACGAAGAAAAGTCTCATTGCAGTAGACCGATTACTTACTTATATGATGGATAAGAACATGTTGTTGGATGCTTGGACTGTTTCATACGTCGTCGAGAAGAATTGCGAACTTGACAGACTGGACGGTGCTTTATTAGGATTTGAATGCAGCAGGAAAATGGGAGTGGGACTTGAAAGAACAGCATATCTTGGTTTAACAGGAACGGTGATGAGATCGAATATGTTCGATAAGTTACTTGAGATTGTCAGAGAAATGATCAATTCAGGACACTCTCTTGGAATCTATCTAAGTTCTGTTTTTATATACAGGCTTGGGAAAGCTAGAAGACCCACTTGTGCTGCAAAGTTGTTCGGTTTGTTGCCTAATGACGAGATTTGCGCTGCTACTTACACTGCTCTCATTAGTGTACACTTCTCTGCTGGTACTGCAGAGAAGGCGCTCAAGACTTTTGAAGCGATGAGAAAGAGAGGCATTTTGCCTTCATTAGGAACGTACAGAATTCTGTTGGCGGGTCTCGAAAAGTTGGGTAGATCAAGTGAAGTAGAAGTTTATAGGAGGGAAAAGAATAGCTCATTGAGTCAGGGTAGTCGTCGGGATAATGTTCCCCTTGAGCAAAAGATTTGTGACATTCTGTTTGCTGGGGCTTCGATAACTTGATTATATGTGCTGAAAAGTTGCACCGACACCAGAGTGCTTCGGCACAGCTCAACGCTTACAAGCAAGGAGAGTTGAAGAATGAACTTATGACAGCGCTCTCCATGATCTGCACTGGAGAATCCTTCACCATGATGCTCTTGATTGTCTCGTCGCAGCTTAGTAATCCAAAGTTCTGCACCCCAAGGGACAGAAACTTATGGTGCCTCTTTGGGACCTGAAGAGTCCCTCTGATGTTCCTAATCCTCAGCATGTATGGATTTGTTTCAGCTGATGTATAGTTATTAGTATTTAAAAGTGCAATATTTGCCCAAGAGAGTCCAGATATGTTCATTGTTATCCAGGAAGCCGAAGTTGACTGTCTGGAGAAGGTCAACTGGATTGACCTAATTGATGAAGTGTTGTTGTTCTAATCTAATATGACCCAGATGTTGGCTACCAAACATTCCCTTCCTGCCTTCGAATTCCATCCTCTCTAATCCAGATATGATCAGGATTGTGCTCATCTGCCTTCTCACTCCAACATCATTCCTTCCCTTGTTGATGAGGCAATCGATCTGTTCAGAATAGTCTTTTCTCTCTTTGATGGTGTTCTTTTTACTTATCTTTACACCATTGCACCGAACAAGCTTCCAACTTCCTCAACAGCCTTAGAATATTGCAAATCGTCTACTTGTAGCACACTAAATGAATGCCTAAATAGCTGTCAATTGTGTCATTTTATTTGGGGGTTCAAAAAACAAGCCTAAAGGCTAAACCCCACTAAAGTCGTGCCACCTGATTCAATCCATTTGTACCTAATAGACTACATAAAATTTTATGTGTGAGCGAGAACGTTAAAATTTAGGTGATTACAGTTAGATTTAGGTTTGAGTTTGTCGAAACTGAATAAAACCAAACTAATAACGGTTTCTTGTTAATTCACCATTTATGTTGAATACCAATTTCTATCAACTCAAGCTAATCTATCATCGACAACTTTCCATTCTCTTCATTTCTATTTCGACATGGTCAATATAATATACTAGTTTTTTGACCCGCGCTTCACAGTGGTGAGAATTATGTAATATACTTGCTTAACTAAAATATATGAAATAACTACCCTCCATTTTACGTAATGTATTTATAATTTAGTTTATGTAATGTGTGGTCTAATAATAAAATTAAATTAAAAAAGTTATCATATTTATTATGTAAAAGTTAATTTACCTTATGGAATCTTTTTGTAATGCAAATTGATGAGATATTGAATATCGTAGTTAATAATAAAGAAATTTTAATAAATAATTAGAGAATTAAATTAAGAAGAGTATCACATTTAATTAAACTATTATGCAAAATATAACTAAGCTTATAAAACTTTTGTGTAATAAAATAGATGAGATGATCAACCTTAAAATATCATTACAATTTATATTACGAAAGACTTGCATAATAATTTTTAATTGATACATAAGAAACGATTATCCCTCGATAAGTTTTATTCAATGACTTAATCATTATGAAAGTCATTCCCTATTATATTTTTCTTAATTGATACATAAGAAATAGCTATCTCTTCATAAGTTGTACATAATGTCTTAACCCCTACAAAATTCACACCCTATTATGTTTTGTTTAATTCATACATAAAAATATTAATGCTTAAAAATGTCTCTCTCTCCATATGTTTTACATAAGTCTTAATCATTATGAAAGCCACACCATATTATGTTTTGTTTAAGTTGATACATTAAAAATAACTATTACTCTATAAGTTTGATATGATATAATATACGTGACTTTTTATAGCACGGTGTTACGTAAATATTTTTTAATGTGCGGTCTAATAATAAAATCAAATTATAAAAAGTATTGCATTTTGTTATACCACTATGTAGAAGACACCTTTATGTGTAATTTCTTCATATGTGAAGTGACTTTTTATAGTATGGTGCTATGTAAATATTTCTTAATGTGCGGTCTAATAATAAAATCAAATTATAAAAAGTATCGCATTTTTTTTAGACCACTACGTAAAAGACACCTTTATGTGTAATTCCTCATATGTTACGTGACTTTTTATAGCACGGTGTTACGTAAATATTTCGTAATGTGCGGTCTAATAATAAAATCAAATTATAAAACGTATCGCATTTTGTTAGACCACTACGTAGAAGCCCCCTTTATGTGTAACTCTTCATATGTTACGTGGCTTTTTATAGCACGGTGTTACGTAACTATTTCATAATGTGCGGTCTAATAATAAAATCAAATTATAAAAGTATGGCATTTTGTTAGACCACTACGTAGAAGACACCTTTATGTGTAATTCCTCATATGTTACGTGACTTTTTATAGCACGGTGTTACGTAAATATTTTCTAATGTGCGCTAATAATAAAATCAAATTATAAAAAGTATCGGATTTTGTTAGACCACTACATATAAGACCCCTTTATGTGTAACTTTTCATATGTTATGTGACTTTTTATAGAACGGTGATACGTAAATATTTTGTAATGTGCGGTCTAATAATAAAATCAAATTATAAAAAGTATAGCATTTTGTTAGACCACTATGTAGAAGACCCCTTTATGTGTAATTTCTCATATGTTTGTGCATGCTACCCCTGTAGCTAATAATTTGGATTAAAAAAACTACAAGCGAAAGAATTGAGGGGTGGGAGTTTTTTTCATAAGGAACAGTAACATTTATAAAAAGTATCGCATTTTTTTAGACCACTGCGTAAAAGACACCTTTATGTGTAATTCCTCATATGTTACGTGACTTTTTATAGCACAGTGTTACGTAAATATTTCGTAATGTGCGGTCTAATAATAAAATCAAATTATAAAACGTATCACATTTTGTTAGACCACTACGTAGAAGCCCCCTTTATGTGTAACTCTTCATATATTACGTGGCTTTTTATAGCACGGTGTTACGTAACTATTTCATAATGTGCGGTCTAATAATAAAATCAAATTATAAAAGTATCGCATTTTGTTAGACCACTACGTAGAAGACACCTTTATGTGTAATTCCTCATATGTTACGTGACTTTTTATAGCACGGTGTTAAGTAAATATTTTATAATGTGCGTCTAATAATAAAATCAAATTATAAAAAGTATCGGATTTTGTTAGACCACTACATATAAGACCCATTTATGTGTAACTTTTCATATGTTACGTGACTTTTTATAGAACGGTGATATGTAAATCTTTTGTAATGTGCGGTCTAATAATAAAATCAAATTATAAAAAGTATAGCATTTTGTTAGACCACTATGTAGAAGACCCCTTTATGTGTAATTTCTCATATGTTTCTGCATGCTACCCCTGTAGCTAATAATTTGGATTAAAAAAACTACAATAAATATAATGAACAATGTTTTGTTAAAAACCGAACAGAAAAATTAGGGTTACCGATCTGGCTGAGTCGCGGACTAGGTCACTCTCTTTAAGACGTTCGCGGCACTGCCTCGTTATTCGCACAGCAGACTATCAGCCGGTCGCCTCCAGGATAAAACAGCCACTCTTTTGATTTGCTCAGCGGCTTTGTGCGGAAAACCGGAGCTCTTTGAATCTCACTCTCTCTCGTGTTTCTGCTCTCTGAGGTGTGTATAGAGGGTCTGGGGCGTCTCCTATTTATAGGAGCAGAAAACCCAGAATATTCCCTCTTTCTTTGGGAATAAGTCATATTTTAATTAGGGAGATAATTACTCCCATAATTAAAATATATTATATTAAGATAATTACTTCTAATTATCTCCATAATATTCTTTTTATTAATTATCCTTCTATTTTCGTATCTAGAAAGAATACTGGATAATTAATTCAATATAGCTTTCAAACTATTCATTCCCAACAATCTCCCACTTGAATAGTTTTGAAACTATCTCTGAGCATCAACAGATCCATAAGATCGGGCATAAGCTAAGGTATCGCGAAGATTTGAACCTTAGCATAGTGGTTACACTTCCGATTTCATAAGGGTGACTCGTAGTCTTGAACCCTATCTCAGACAATGTAGCACACCGGATCTTTTCATTGAGTGATATTCTCTCATAGGCCGTGCGTTTATGGCCATGCACGTTATCCCGGTTTAGTGAACGCTCTAGCAACTTTGTGCCTCCAAAGTTCCATAGGGAGCGGCCTCACTCCCACATTCACATAGGTGAGTCTATCAGAAGTACCCCCAAAGTAAAGTACTTCACTCCACATAGAGTATAGATCTCATTAAGAGTTTTAACTCAACCTCCAAGACTTTGGGATTCATGCTTCACTATGCATGAACTTTTCTCAATATTACTCATGACTTGTTATTACCCATTGAACCCGTTTCTTGGGATCTCCAGTCTATCGGGTCGGGTTACCATCACTTGTAATCCATGGTTCGGTAGGCATAAGTCTCATACCCTTCGTGGTATTTTGGACTTTTCTCTCTAGGTAATCCTTTCGTCAAAGGATCAACTAGATTCTGTTAGGATCTCACATGATCCACCCTCATTGCTCCTATCGTTAGGAGTTCTCTTACAGTACTGTGCTTACGACGAATTTGTCGTCTCTTTCCGTTCTAGAACCGGTTCTCTTCTTTAGTAATAGCTGCGGTGCTATCACAATGAATCAACTACCGGAGGGATTGGTCTTTCCCATAAGGGAATCTCTAGTAGTGACCCTCTCAATCAACTTTCCTCTTTACTAGCCATTGCTAGTTCTATCATTTCTGATTTCTTAGTTGATTGAGCCAGGATCGTTTACTTCTTAGACTTCCAAGACATAGCTTCTCTATCAATGTTTAAAATACAACCTCTTGTTGTCTTGGAGTCCTCTATAGGGTATTCTAATCCGCATCACTATACCCTACCAATACAGCAAAACCTTTGATAACAAATACCAAGGTTTTTCTGTTCTTTTAATGTGTCTCGTGACCCCTTTCAATAGCATTTCAATGCTTCATACTAGGACAATCAGTAAGCCTGCCAAGTACCCCCTCTATGTCGGGTCTCATGTTTATCAGCTGCCTCTCGCAGACTGTCGATGCTAGTATGTTCTTACTTTCTTACACCGTCTTTGGTGCTCTTAAAAATTGTACTATCACCATCAAACATTTATGCAGGTGTAGAACTCGTATTTCCTCTAGATCTAACTTTGTAGTTAAACTGATCTAGATGAAATCTCTTTCATTGTCCTAGTAATCTGGATCTCCGAGCATAACACTTGCTTCATTCAGATCCT